GTGAATGGGAACCACCTGGCATGCTCTCTAATAACCAAATTCAGGTTCCCTGCAAGAACATCAAAAGTTATATGTTCTTAACTGCTGACCCACCTCTCCAGTCCCAACCAATTTTTGTTTGTTTGTTTTAACTTCTAACACACTAAATATCGCCATACAAAAAGATCACCAATAGTTTGGAGATCAAAGTTTTGGCATTTGGAGATTAACAGTAATTTTCAAGATGATATGGGAATCTCTAGACTATACAGACTTCTGAGACTAGATTAGGCTAGAAAGAAAGATTGAAAGAGGCTGCCAGAAAAAGCTAGTGGGACCCTGAGTAGAGACAGGCCCTAATTATGTCTCCTTTTTTATGTTATGTAATAAATGTCAGATTTATATTTTTGAAAATTATCTTTTTAGTGCTAGCATCTAGATAATTCATTAATTTTGATACTATAGTGTTTTGCTTCTAGCACATTCTCTAGTTACTACTGTTTGTGACACAATATTTATAGAAGAGTTGTCAATTTCGCAGAACTTCCACTAAAATCAGAAACAAGACAAAGTTGTGCACCCTCTCCATACCAATTGAATATAGTATTTGAAGTCTTAGCTAGAACAATAAGACAACTGAAGGAGATCAAGGGAAAACAAACTATCTTTACAAATGATACAATTTTATACATAAAAGATTCTAGCTGGAAACTAGAACAGCTGATAAACACCTTCAGCAATGTAGCAGGATACAAAATTTACACACAAAAATCAGTGGCCTTCCTAAATACAAATGACAAACATACTAAGAAAAACTTAGGAAGACAATCTAAAGAGAGATGCTAGTCATGGGGGCAAGGTTTAAAACAAATATGGCAAAAGACAGGGCCTAGCCAATGCATTTCCCCACAAGGATTATTTCTTCATTAATTACTTGCAGTGTAATGTTTTCCACTCACAAAACATTATAGCCTTATAGCCTTTGGTTTTTCTTAGAGTGATTGGGAATGTGTAACATGAGGTTTTTGGCCTCGCAGGTCCTGCCGCCCTTGAGCCCCCAAATGAAGACCCAGAGACCTGCGTTAATTATAATCCTGTTGGCCGATAGCTAGGGCTTCTTATTAGCTAGCTATATCTTAATTATTAACCCATAACTACTAATCTATGAATTTCCACATGGTATTGGTTTACTAGAGAATGCTGGACCTGTAACTTCTTGTCCCTGCTTATATCCTGATTCTGCCCAGCTATGTCACTTCCTCTCTGGCCAATCAGCCAATTGTTGTTTTATTCATTAACCAATAAGAAAAACATATACAGAAGAACATTCCCCATCATATTCTTGTAGGCCAACCAAAAGATGTTTCCATCTCACATTTCCATGCAGGCTAATCCCTCAGAGTTGTTGATTGGTGGGGTCCCAGATGTCCCCCAAACTACATAGACTATTACTGCCATTGTTCTTGGTTATACTCCATAAATTGATGGTACTGCCCTATTGGTAAGGACTATACAACTGAATCATAAAAGATGAAGAACTCAGACTTGTAACAACATGGAAGCTTCTTTACATCTAGCTAGTTTTGATATTTCTGGAAGGTGCTATTTACTACAGGAAATGAAAATGAATTATCAGTCTCAGTCAGCTGCAAATCTGTTAGTTAGAAAAATTAATTCCACTTCACAAAATGGAACCCATGCCTGGTTCCTTTACCTGAACCAAAACTCTGAGGTTGGATAGGTCATAGGCCCTAGGGAACAACCTAGTCCTATTATTCTGTTAAATGGACACGGTAAATAACTCTCCCCTACGTTCTTATCTTTATACCTAGAGACTAGTACAGTTCTCAAGCCTTATCACACTCTCTCTGTTCTAGGTGCATGGGTCATTGCAGATGAGAGTGAGAAAATTCTTACAAAAGATTGTAAGAGTCGGAGGTAGTGGAGAACTACAGCAATACAGACTTTTCAGGACATGACTGGGGTAATGCACACATAAACTCACAGGGGTTGTAACTGCATGCAGGAGATCAAGCCAGTCAAAATTCCATCAGTTGGGGGAGGGATTCATGAAGTCTTGTACTTAGCTAAGGACTATTGACAGTTGGTACCTGCTGGGGAGTGGGAGTGTCTGTTTCCTTCAGGGATTTGCTCCCCTGATTAACTGTCTGTATTCCAGTGCATGGCCCTACAGCCAAGTACATACTAGCAACACTATATGTACTTGCTGGATTTTAAATCAGTACACAAAATTGGAAGGCAAAAGAGGGGGGAAGGTATAGAAGGAGTTGGGGTCAGGGAGGACTATAAGTGGATTTGATAAAAACACATTTACATTTATACACAAAATTCTCAAACAACTTTTAAAATGAGAAATCTATTTGAAAACGATGGTAACTGATAAGCCCATATACTTAATTTAGGGTTTGAAATATATAGGAGAGAAAAATAAAACTAGGAAAAAAAGAACATTGCTCAAGACTGTAAAAACATCCACTCACTTGGAGATTCCTGAACAAAGTAAAGGTGAAAAGAAGAGGGAATGTTGAAAAAGCAAGAAAATATTATCAATCACTAATGCCTCCAGGCTCTAAGAAAAGACCATTCCACTCAAGGGTCCAAATAGCTGTGAAAAAAGTCCAACACTAGATGACCCTATGCTGTGACATATTATTAGAAAATCTCAAAATAAAATGATAAAAGGAAACCCTGAAAGCTTCCCAAGAAAGAACTAAGGTTATCAGAAAAAAAAAATAAAATAAAAAGATGCAACTTCATCTTTTGAAAAGCACCACTGGATGTGAAAGACAGTGAAGACATGCTTTCAAGATTCTGACTGACAGTGAAACTGAGTGCAGACCTTCCCTGATGTAGACAAGTGAAAACAAAGCAGATAAAGACAGTTGACACATCCCAGGATACTAGGCCAGGGGGACATGAGAGACCAGACTTCAGTCATATCACCTCAAAATAAACTTTCAAATCCATGAAAGCACACATCCTTTTCCTGGGAACCCCTCTAGGACAAACTTGCTACATCTTGCAGTTGGTGCTCTAAAAGATACGGTTTTCATTTAAGCATAAAATTCTAGTCCTACATATAGCCATCAGGGTCATCCTGTCACCAGCTCCTTTTCCCTTGAATTTCATTCCTTTGTCACTCCGCCCCCTCCTGAGAACTGCAATGAGTCTCTGAATGGCGAGTCCCTGTGCATGCTTTGTGGAGGAGGGAGGAGGTACCACAGTTTGCATGATGATCAGAGGACAACTTTCAGGTCAGGTTACCAGACTTCGTGGCAAGCATCTTTTTATACTGAATAATGTTGGTAGCTCCTCCTTATTAAAACCATTTTTCTTAATATGTTTAAATTACATATTTTTATTAATTTTTTCAGAAGTTCACATACTACATTTTGACCATGTTCTTCCCCTCTCTCACTCCTCCCATCCACCTCATTTCATACTCACAATGAAATCAGTTTCTTTTTTAGCCCATCCAGTCCAATTAGTGCTGTATGGGCCAATCAATGGAGTAATAAAATATGTTCTAACAAGCAGGGGCCATATTTAAACATTTATTTACTTTGAGGAGGCATGTCATGGTGCACAATTCTTTTGCACTAAAAGCTATTTGTAATATATAATCCTGAATATATGTTCAATATATATGAATTTGTGTCTTCCAAGTTGTAACCCTAATAGGCCCAAATAAATTCTTTTATTTCTTAATCAATTTGTGCACCATTTTCTCTTCAAGAGTTGACGGTGAATAGAGAAAATAAAGACATCTTCAATGTACAAATACTCATGAATTGGCGATCCATTGTTCTATTTTCAGAAAAAGAAATTATAGAATTATTAAGATTATCACGGAAGGCAAATGCAAGAACTTCTAAAAAATGCTACATAGTAGTCAAAGAAAAATACTTTACACAGTAAGGGCAGGTTGGGGAGCACAAGAAAAAAGCTCCAGGAGGGAAAAAGTAATGGAACTGATCAATTATTCAACAGGCTTACCCAGATGGAAAATTATAACTGGAAATATTTTTACAGAAGTGAGTAAGTAGTTTTAATGAAATAAATGAGGTATTATTTTTATGAGTTCATGAGAAAGAAAACAAGATCACAGACATTCTTTGTCACAGATATTACTATTAAATTTTTAGTAGTGGAGACACTAAGTTTTTATCCAACAGTATGTGTAATTGCATTGAAATGATAGTTACCAGAAGATCTGTGAGCTGAAATATTCCTAGAACACAAAGTGAAAAACAAGGAAAAAACAACTAAATTTGCTAAGTCATTAAACAACAGTCCAGGGATACCACTTACAACTATGACACTCTGTACAGGAAAGTCCTCTGAAAAGACGGACATTGTTGCTTATAGGGAGTGCTGATGCTGGGTGCAACCAAGATGTTATTTATTTTTAATGATGTCTCTAGACATAAATTAATTTTGAGTGATGGGAGACATGGGCCAGCTGTTAAATGCATGCAATCCTCTTTCAGAGAATGTAGGTTCAGTTCCCAGCACCTACATCAGGCAGCTTACAACTCTAACTTCAGCTCCAAGGATATGACATCATAATCTGGTCTCTGAGGGTACCTAAACTTGCATGTGCATACTCAAGCACAGATGCACACATATATACACAATAGAATAATAGAATAAGCCCAGCAATAGTGGCACATGCCTATAATCCCAGCAATCAGAAGGCAAAGGCAGGTGGATTTCATTTTGGGTTGTATGTTTGTTTTTGGTTTTTCGAGACAGGGTTTCTCTGTATTGTTTTGGAGCCTGTCCTGGAACTAGCTCTTGTAGACCAGGCTGGTCTCGAACTCACAGAGATCTGCCTGCCTCTGCCTCCCAAGTGCTGGGATTAAAGTTGTGTGCCACCAACACCCGGCTTGAGGCAGGTGGATTTCTATGAGTTTGAGGCCAGCCTGGTCTACAGAGTGAGTTCCAGTATAGCCTGAGCTACACAGGCAAACCCTGTCTTGAATCCAACCCCCCCAAAATATAAATAAAATATGAAATGATAGAATAAGCCTTTAAAATTAAATTTTACAAGTGATTTAAAAAAAAATGAAGACTCAAAAACCAGTAGGATTGAGAAGTGAGTGTACTGAGAAGTCCTGATTGGTTTGTTGATGTCACAAAAGCACACTGATGGCCTTAATTGCAGCACTGTCACCGGGGTGCCATGGAAGTCCAATGATAGTAAATGCAGACAGGACTAGAAGCTTCTCCAAGAAGCCTGGCTGAGAATGGAAAGGACAGCAAGTTAATTCACCCGTGACTGTAGGAGAAAGAGATCAGATCGCTCCTGTTTTTCTAGGAATCCTAAAGTAGCATCACAAATTTAAAAGGACAATCTGAAAGAGTGTCAATAATAAAGCCTGTCTCCTCAATCCCAGCACCTGGCTCCACCCTTCCCATCAGCACATGGTGGCTTCACTCTGCCTTCCCATTTGTCCTCCAGGCACAATTGCTTCTGTCCCTAACCCTCTTTTCTAGGTTTTGTGATTTATTTTTCAACGGACCAGATGAAAGAGTTAATACTATTCAACATAGAGACTGAAATATTAGAAGACTTGGTCAAAGTTTTTTAATTCCTTCACCTGAACATAAAACTACAGTCTTCTGCAAATTGGTTTAGAAAATGCTGGAAACTCAGTGGCTGTTCAAAATGTATTATACTGGATTAAATGTTGCTTACCCAAGTAAGCCACCCGTATCTTATCTGGGATGATGTATGCATAAATAAATATCTCTTAAATAATTTATTTAAGCAAATAAATTACACTACAGAGTAGCCATTGAAGGTTCAGTCACAATTTGCTTTCCTTGCTGAAAGGGAACAAAGGACTTCCGGCATGTGGGACAAGACTTACTGAGTCTTTGTTGTGAAAAAAAAAAAAATTGAAGGCAGGGATGTAATTATATCACTAGACCCAAGATAAATGCTAAATAATTAGTAGTGCCCATCTATAATCAAGAAATCATACTGCATTTTTCTTTTAATTAAAAAGAATCTAGAGCTAGGTTTTAGTAGCACTAGATGATAATGTGAGTAATTAGAAAATGAAGCAGGAACAGCACAACTTTCAGGGAAACCTAAAATACACACTACGCCCCTATTCCAGAAAGAAAAACAGAACCAAAATCAGAAGATAAACAAAAGTCTGGTATCAGCTGTTCAAACATAGGGACAGCTTAGAGAATAATAGTACAGATCACCCTAGTAATATTTTTAGCCAAAATATGTCCTTAGGATTGTAAACTCCAGGATACAGCAAATGAAAATCCATAAAATAAGCATACAGATGAACTCAGAAACAAAATTTACCAAAATGTATGTGATTGATCACAACTACAGTGATACATACATTTCTCTTGAAAGTAAATGAGGCATTCCTGATGGTTTTCTCCCAAGGTTCCCTGCAGTCTGGTCTCTTGGGCCTCCTCACCCTTTTACTTCTCTCCCAGGCAGCTCTAAGAAATCAAGCACAGAGGGTAAAGAGGGTTAAGAGGAACAGCAGCTAGATCTCACACCCATTCTCTAGAGGCATCTTCCAAGCTCTTGCTACAAAGTCCCATAGATAACACAAGCACAGCAAAACCTTGGCAAGAAAAGACAGGATGTTTATGCTCAACTCCAAGAGCAGGACGTCTGTTGTAATAGATACTCATTTATCCATAATGTGCCTAAGTGCATGTGGGAAATTTTTTTTGCCCTCTTAAGAGAAAGATGGTTCAAGAAATATGCAAGTATGTCTGTGGGGATATCACTCACCAAAAAGACAAAACAAAACCAAAACAAAATAAAAACTTGTATGTGTTTTTTTTCTTTCTCTCCATTTTTTATTTAAATTAGAAACAAGATTATTTTACATGTCAATCCCAGCTCCCTCTGCCCCCCCCCCCCCCAACACCCTACCTATTCCATACTTTTTCTGCTACCCAGGGAGGGTGGGTCTTCCATAGGGGGTCTTCCGAGTCTGTCATATCCTTTGGGATAGGACCTAGGCCCACCCCCTTGTGTCTAGGCTCAGGGAATATCGTTCTATGTGGAATGGGCTCCCAAAGTCCATTCCTATGCCAGGGATAAGTACTTATCTACTACAAAATGCCCTGTAGATTGCTGAGGTCTCCTCACTGACACCCACATTCATGGGGTCTGGATCAGTCCTATGCTGGTTTTCCAGATATCAGTCTGGGAACCAAGCGTTCCCCCTTATTCAGGTCAGTTATTTCTGTGGGTTCCACCAGCCTGGTCTTGACCTCCTTGCTCATCACTCCTCCGTCTCTGCAACTGGATTCCAGTTCAGTTCAGTGTTTAGCTGTGGATGTCTGCTTCTACTTCCACCAGCTGCTGGATGAGGGCTTTAGGATGGCATTTAAGTCAGTCATCAATCTCATTATGGGGGGCGGGCATTTAAGGTAGCCTCTCCTCTGTTGCTTAGATTGTTAGTCGGTGTCATCGTTGTAGATCTACAGACATTTCCATGGCACCTGATTTCTCTTTAAACCTAAGAGTGAATACTTGTATTTGTTAAAGGCTGTGTTGGTTTAAGTGAATGATGTGTAAATTTACTGCTGTTTCAATGCCACTGCATATGGGTTATAACTAGCTATCTACTTAAATTAGCTGGAGAGCAAATGAGGCACTGCCTCAGTCTGTAATATGGATTTATCTCTCATACATCATAAAACACCACCGATGCTTTGGGAAACATTGGATGCTTGCTCTCACCTGTCCCATTCCAAGTATCTGGTGCCTTCTTTTTTTTCATCTGGAATTTCCAGCCTTCTGGGCTCCTCTTCTTTGTAAGAGAGGTTTGATTTTAATTTTATCTGTCCTATGGTAGAGGAGAAGACTGTCTTAGATCACCCAGTTCTATCTCCTGAATATGAAAACCTTCCCCGATTCACATGATGTAACCCTAATTCCCAAAGGAAAAAAGCATCCAGTGATAGGGCCTGTAATAGATAACTAAGGAAAAGGGTAATTCTTAAAAGATGAAATAAATTATCACTCCCATGAAGGGGACCAAAGTTACTCTGTGTTTCTCCCCAGTGATCTAGTTGTTTGCTTTTTTTTTTTTTCCAACTCTTTGGGGACCTGCCTCCCAGCTCCCAAATAAAAACAATGAAGACTTATTCTTGCTTATGAATGCATGGCCTTAGCTTGGCTTGTTTCTAGCCAGCTTTTATAACTTAAATTATCCCATTTCTCTTCAACTACATTTTGCCTCTGGGTTTTCTACTATTCTTTATTCTGTATTTATTTCCTTCTTACTCCACTGCTGGCTGTGTGGCTGGGTAGCTGGGTGGCTGCGTGGCCTGGTGTCCTCTTCTCCTTTTCCTTCTCTCGCTCTTCTCTCTTCTCTAGAGCCTAGATTTCTCCTATTTATTTTCTCCACCTATCCCTCTCTCCTAACTAGCTTATTGGCCATTAATCTCTTAATTAAGCCAATCTGGTGTTTTAGACAGGAAATGTAACACAGTTTTACAGAGCTAGACAAATGCAACATAAAAGAATGCAACACTGCTGGGCATTGGTGGCGCACGCCTTTAGTCCCAGCACTCAGGAGGCAGAGGCAGGTGGATCTCTGGGAGTTCGAGGCCAGCCTGGTCTCTAGAGCAAGTGCCAGGATAGGCTCCAAAGCTACACAGAGAAACCCTGCCTTGAAAAACCAAAAAAAAATAAAAGAGTGCAACACGTCTTTGCATCATTAAACAAATATTCCACAACATAAAAGAATGTAAAACATCTTAAACTAATATTCCACAACAATATGAGGGAGGAAGAAGGTACCATGAATGGATACCTGCTCCGACGAGGCATCAATCCACCTTCATGGTAGACTTCCCAGCCACTAGAATAATTATAATTTTTGTTGCTTATATGATATTCAATTTTATTATTTGTTAATATCCCTAATAGACTAAACTACCCAGCATCGGTTCCCCTTCTTAACAGCTTTTACACTCTACATTGGAGAATTGAGCATCTTTTATGTTCTGCATTATGACTCCTATGAAAGTCTTTGCTCTCATTAGCTGGAGCTGCAGTTAAGTCAATGGGTCACTCTCATAATATATTGAATTTTGAATGAAGTCTTCCACACATTTGAAAATGTCTTATGTGCATTTATTCTAGCTTGTCTTCTGAGTTGGGTGTATGATGTACAATAATTCAGAGCAGCCTTGGTTCCTATCCTGAGGTCTCTACTACACTAGCTGTGTAACCTTGGCAATTTATTCAATTCTCTATACCCTTGTTTCCTTAGCTATAAAACAAGGCAATAATTACATACCTCACAGGACTATGATAAGGATTAATTGAGACAATCTCAGTGCTGAGGCAAGCTCATTATGCCTATTAAGTACCCAATAAACATTCTCCATTAAGCTTGGTTCCCAGGCCTTTCAATAAATTTATTTTGTGCTACGTTTAGCCTTAGCTAGTTTTGTTTCTAAGAACACTGAACCCTATCTGATTTACCCATCATCTGTCATGTTCTTAGATGAGGACTCCTGCCCCCAGCTCAGCAGACCAAGGACTAGCCAGACAAGCTTAAGTATCCCACATGAGTAAATGGGCACAGACAGTCATTACCTACTCTCTGAGGACAACTCTGGTCACATTGACAATAGACTTCATTTCCACTTGTTCACTTTTCCTCAGCAAACCTTGAGTAAAATAGATAAAATCCTGATTTCCATTAGAATACAAGAAAGAATATTTACTTAACCAGACAATGAGCATTTAAACTGAGAGCTTTACAAATCCTCCTGTTATACCAACAACTGACAAGGAAGAAATCACATCAAATACTTTGATCAGCCAGCTGAAACTGTCTAAAGGGCAAACCATTCAGTACCCATTACATGACTGACTGCTCCTTGTGATCCCATCAGTCCTTGGAGCAATGGTAGCCTAACTGGGTTAGTTTCTATGCTTAGAAAAAGTCTCTAAAAGTATACAGGAACTGGCAGAATAATCCTAGAGAAATTCAGTGACTTAACATACTATATAAAATCTAAAGATCGTAAAACAGTTACTAAAATAGAAAATTCCCATGGCCTTTCACATAAATTACTATTTATAATTTTAATATGAAATTGAAATAATTGTATGACTTTAAGAAAATATATAAAGTGTTTAAACTTTTTACCCCTGAAGACCCCACTTGGAATGGTATGTTCACTAAAGACTGAAAAGCTTGACATGGTGTACTCTGTGTCATTGTTTACAGCTTAACTAATCAGTTTTTTGTACTAGATTCTTCTAGTGCTATTCATAAGGTAATTTGGGGATAGTAGACAATATTGATATGTTCCAAATCTGTTCTCAATAAGGTGTTAAACTTGAGACACTTTTAAAATAATGCAGTGGTTAATCCATGTGCCCAAACAAAGAGGGTCAGTTATTTCTATTGATTTTTAAGGAAATTCTTCACTAGCAAAATTTAAAATGATGACCAAAATATGAATGAACGCTTTGATATGAAAAAGAAATTGACTTAGTTGAGAATGTTGATTCAGATTCAGATCCTGACATTGACAGTCTTTGAAAGTTAGTTCACATATATTTCTAGGAAATCCATGAAAATAAAATGTTTTTCTGAGAGCTAGATTCAAATCAGTGTTGTTGAACCATCAATAAAACTTAGAAAGTTCATATATGTACATATATATATATATATATGTGTGTGTGTGTGTGTGTGTGTGTGTGTGTGTGTAATATATATATGAAACTTGCACAAGCCCAATATAATTAAAGCTCTGTGTATGTGTGTGTGTTGTGGTTGTGTGTTTGTGTGCATGTGTATGTGTGTGTGTGTATCTGTATGCACATTTGTGTGCATGTGCAATTAGAAGAGAGTTACTTCTAATTACAAGTTAACAGATACCTTTAATTAGATACCAAAAGCTAATGAATAAATTTCCTGGTGCCAAGAATGCGTCACTTCTTTTGAAGTTGTTGGCCAGTAAGGCTCACATCCCCAAACAGTAAGGCTATTGCCATTGTTTTTGGTTAGCCTCCAGAACTTGCTGGTAAGAACTCATTTCTGAAGATACCATATACTTGACCCACAGAACATGGAGAAATGAAGCTGGTACTGGCCTAAAGTGGCTTCATTCCTAGTGGCTATCTTTCATAGTACTAGAAGGTGGTATGTATGCTACCAGAGGAAAAAAGTTATCAATCATCCCAGGTTACAAAATCTGTTAGCTACAATTGGTCACTGGCCTGACAAGACATGCCCACTGGTGCAATAGTTGGCAGAATTCCCAAACATCATAGGAATAATCAACTGTTTTCTGATTAGATTTAAGCCTTGCTCCAGAAGATGAAACCCATACTTGACACCATTATAGGATCAAGGTTTTATGGCAGCTAAGTTTATAACCCCTAGGGGACAAACCATTACTATTATGATGCTTAGTGAGCATAACACCAAACTGACTCCTAATGAATTATTGTGTCAATGCATATATGTCAATGCATATGTCAATATGCACATATGTGGAAATGCATCTCTCAGCCCTCATCTGAGAAGCTTCTATTTATAAAGCTTCTATTTATAAGTAAGTGGTGATTAACACAGAGCCCCACCACTGGCTAAGGTTCAGACACTGCATAATGCTCAATCTTAAATGGAGTATGTACACTGTAACCTTTTCTCCCAAGGCTAAAGGATCATTCAGAAGAGCTCAAGAGCTGGAGATGGTAGGTGACTATAAAGAAATCGCGTCTTTGTGACACAACCTGCCAGCTACTTATATGATTATAATAGTGTAACACCATGCATTGTTTGAAACACTCAAAGATCTAATTTAAAAAATAGATTAGCAGTAATTTTCAAAATAAAGAAAAAATGTGGGTTTTAAATAAGAATTTTTAGACCTCTTTCAAACTCAGAGTCAAGGAATACAATAGCCCATTGTTAATATCATCAATTATACCAATAGGTTAAATATACAAACTTTAACTGTGTTTGAGATAATTGCAATTCAGCTTAATCCTACAAGCATAATTTTTGTTTTTATATAGGAAAAATTCCTTTTCTTTCTATACTTTGAACCTAACTAAAACTTAAGGAAAGTGTATTTCCTCTATTTTGCTTTAAGATTTAAAAAAAAAATGTTTCCTGTTAAAACCAGTAAGTTTTGAGACAGTATTTGGTATAGCAAGAGCTATTTGGTGTGATTAGACACTGAAAACCTCAGTAGATTTAGACTGCGACTTAATAATATATCACCATAAAATGTTGCTGTCTAAAACATGCCTTTTATCAAGGAATGTTTCTTGAGTGAAATGTCAATAAGACATGTTTTCTTTTCCACAGCTATCTAAAATGATGAGTACTACATCATGTTATACTTGTCTTTCTGAAAATGAGATGAGTGTCTCTTGTTCATCAGTCACCCATTATCTCTTCCTTTTCCTGCTATCTACTCATTCTATTCCCCTTTCCATGCCACAGGAAACTTATATCTCAGATAAACAACAAAGAGATCTTTTCTGTTGTGTGGCAGGAGAATATTACTTTACTTACAAACTTTCTTAGACACCAATCAAGACATTAATTCCTAAACTTCCTCTCAAATTATTTAGAGCAAAAGTTTAACAATATGCCACTTTGTATATTCTGCCTTTCTATAATAATGAGGGGTTGAATAAAATGTTTAGGCTGGACAGAAAATAAAGTGCAACTTTTTCTTTTACTTCAACTACCCTTTGTCAGTTTCTATATTATTATAATTGCCTGAAGGTACTAAGGCTTTCAGTAACCATTTGCTTCTTTGATACAACTTTTATCACTCTGGAAAGAAAGAACAAAGTGAGCAGCACTAACAGCACCAAGGAACAAGCAAACAACACCAAAATTGTATTTCTTTCTAAAGCAGAAATAAGCTAGTCTTAGACCATCCCCATACTCTGAAATGTAAGATTTCCCCACTTACTGGAAAGCCTGCCAAAAATGTGTCTCTAAACATATGGTTCTTAGATACAAATATACATGTCATAAACACTACACACTGAACATAAGTGACATTATAAAATAGAAAAAGACTAAAATATGTAATCAAAAATGATCATTTATCCAACAAGGACAAGCCATGGAATAAGACCCACTAAGGAGTGCATAACCAGCTCATAGGGGTATCAGAGATAGATAGAGAGAGAGAGAGAGAGAGAGAGAGAGAGAGAGAGTTTTAGAATAACAGTAAAGAAAAATTGACACCAGCACCTGTATATAGTCTTCAGATAAAGCTAGAAAAGCTAAATTATGATGATATTTCAGTTTTGGGGGGTAAACCAAGGTTCAGATGCTTTTAAGAGTAAGACCGATGCTTTATAAAGGATAAAGCCATGCTAAGAATAATGTAGGAAGCAGAATTTTTAAAAGATTCTTGACTATGGGTTTGCATCTAATTGTGTGTATGAGAAAAGTTTTTGATGCTGTTGTGACATATTTGTATTTAAGATTGAGGTGGAACACTCTGATGGCAGAGGGGAGTTTCAGCTGAAGGCTATAGGACCAGGGGTTGATCCAATACTAAGCTCATTAGCATCATTAGTGATAATGGAGAAAGAAATCAAGCATTCTTATTACACAGTTCAGTGCTATAGGGTCTTCCTTCCATTTGCAGCAGGACTAAACCACTAAATGCCCTCCATTTAATTCATCAGTCTTCAAATTAGTGTAGAAATTATTATCGTTCTCACTATTGTGTGATACAGGCCAACGTTTCAGTGAAAATACAGGTAATTATCCTTTTCGTAGATTTGCTTATATTAATTTATATATTAATTTATGTTTATGAGTTTTACACATTGTGTAAGTGTTTGTCTGGTGTCCATGGATGTCAGAAGATGCTAGTTTCTCTGGAAATAAGTTATTGATGGTTACGAGCTGCCATCCAGATGCTGTATATTGCATCTTGGTCTTCTGCAAGAACAGTGCTCTAAACTGCTTAGCTATCTCTTCTTCCCCTTTACTCTTTTTACATGGACTTAGATGGATAATTGAAGAGTCTTTTGTCATTTTCAAACAGATATCTAGAAGTACATTATTTTTTAAAAACCTTGCTAACTCAAATGGCTCATTTTATCTGTGTTTTCCAGACTACCTTAGAAACCACTATTGGCAAAATCTAACATTAATTTAGCTTAGAACTGAGGCAACGCATTACATAAAGCCCAGCCTCTGCGTCACAGAGTGCAGAATGGTCATTTAGAACTGAAACACGGCTATTAACAATTTGCAGTGCATTACTTTGACTACAGAATGCCTTGACCCATAAGACAAGAGCTTTACACTTTATAAAGCAAGGCCAGGTGTCTACCTTCAGGAATAAAGCTATATTCCATTTCAAGATATTTTCCCACAGAGAAGACACAAAGTCTCAGCTATCATTCATTTTGTTATCTCTACACACACACACACACACACACACACACACACACACACACACACACTTTGTTTTGATTTGTTTGTTTTAATTTTCCAAGTACATATTCCCCAAGACTGACCCACATTCCTCCTGCCCCACCTCTCAGGCACAAGAGATTACATACAGAATGGGTCCACAGGCTGACCACCCCTTTCATTTCTGAATGATATCATCAGGGGCAAGTCTGGGCAGTATCAGTTTTCCTCAAATCCATGCACTGGCCCAACCAA